CACACACACACACACACACACACACACACACACACACACACACACACACACACACACACTCATAGTTATATTATATTGGCTAGTATAAACATAGCCCAAAATAAATTCATTTATTTATCGATTTCTCTGGTTCTCTTCTTTTATCTACTCTTGTCTGTCTGTCTGTCTGTCTGTCAGTCTGTCTGTCTGTCTGTCTGTCTGTCTGAGTATACGTAAACAAATGCATGAGATAAGACAAGTGACAAACATAAATTCGAAAACAAAATAACAGCAGATGACAAGAACGCAATAATGTCGAACCAGGGAAAACGTTTATTTATTTATTTATTTTTAAAAATCTTTCTAAGAATGTGTAATTATTTCTGCTGCTGACTTCCTGTCAGTCAGTTCTCGGATTGTAACCCAATGGAAATAGACAGACACATACAATTTACTACACGTGGAGTTTGTTCAATTTATAAAAATATGAAATTACAACAGATAAGTGACACTTAAAGAGAATGGCATTAAGGTCGCTTCTAAGGACAAGTAGGCTAACCCGGATTTCGGGGGTTTCCAGAAATCTTGATCTACACCAAAAAATGGGTATTGCCCTACCTATAGGAGACGTTTGGTTTCATTGGTGTGTGTATTTGTTTGGTTGTAGAGAAAACTCTTCTTGTCTTTTAAAGAAACTGAACAAGGGTCCAAAAACTTTACCTTCGATTTTCTCAAAACAGCATTTTTCGGGATAGATCCCTTGTGCTTTAAAGAGACCAATTGAAAGTCTACAAATTTGATTCTAGTGTTAGTTTTGTCCTATATCTCCCTTTGTGGACTTTGAGAAGCAACTCATTTCGTCTGCTCGTCCAATTGACAAAGCCAAGGATTCGATAAGAAGGTTCAATGGATTTGGCAACAGGGATTCCGTTTCAGCACAAAGACCTCAGCATAATGTGAGGCACCGTGGTGGAATCAGGCTCTCGTCAAAATAATCAAAGTGAAGAAACTTGCATTTTCCTCATGTTTGTGAATTTTTATCAAATTTTTGTTTTTGGGCTCAACACCTTTCATGCCCATTAAAGAACTAATTCCTGTGTGGATTTTTCTGAAGAACGTTGATTAAAAGAACAAAAAAATGCAAATTTTCTGTTACCACCGACTCTTAAGTTAAGGAAATAACTAATCTTTGGAGGCCATTTTCTCACTAATTTGACCTCTGAAAACAGGTGACCCCCACATTCTTCATTCGCAAATATCTCGACTTATATTCAAGATAAATGCATGTTTTTTCCATCCAAATATAGACAAGTGAACAAGCTGTAAGATGATACCAATAACTCTACATGCCCCAAAATTGACGAGAGCCTGATTCCACCATGCTGCCTCTTATATACATGTTTGTATGTACATATTTTACACA